ATATGATAAATGTCGAGGTGAATAATTATCTTTTCGTAAAAGACGTACTACAGGTTTTTTTTTATTTATCCTGACTATGATTCTTTAAATATTTATCAAACATTCTGTATTTTTATGCCTGCGTACATGTACAAAAAATAAAAAATCATTTTCATAAAAATGGCTTCGTAATGCGGCGTGCGATATGATCGATATTTACCAAGAGAAATTAATCAGACACTATAGTATAGTTTATGACTTTATTAAAGCTTGAAGTATATGAATACATGGACTTATAAGTGTTCATGTAGATAGCTAAAACTTGCAGAAAAGAATATGATAGATAAGATAAAAAGGAAAATGCATAAGATAAAAAACATATGATGAATACGATCATAAAAACAATAGTAGTCAACATTAAATACATTGTTATTGTTTATGAGCAAACAGACGAATTTTTTCGATCTTGTCCTTCTTTTTTAAGATAATTAAACTACGTAATGACAAGGACGACATAGATGCGCGTCTTATATTCTTGATTGCACCAGCTACACTAAACTGTTGTTCTAAATAAACCGATGTAGCTGGGATTATGTTATATCGACGTACAAGTTGATTTAAGCGTGGCAGTGTACGGGCATTGTTTTTCCAAAACATTTGAAAATCCATTGATTCATTATCTCGTATTAGATTAAGAAAAATTGCCATTTCGAGATCAACACTAACAGGTTGAAATGATAAAGGTGGAGAAGCTTTTTTCTTAGTAACATTCATAAGACTGGATTTAAAAGACATCATACGATCAGAATTTATTATTGATGATAAAGCTTGTGATGTACTAGATGAGAAGATTGCTGAAGTATCAGATGGCATTAAATCCATTTGTTGCATGTTTTGCGTAAGCAACTGCTTTGCTGCTTCATAATCTTCTTTGTATAATATTATATCCCCATGGAAAAGTGGATCAAGAAATGCTGCCACCTATAAAGGATAAACCAAATATGTTACAATACATGTATACCAATAGGAAACTTCTTGAAAAGTAAATTATATCTTTTGAGATTAATCTTTTTTCTGCTACTACAACGTATTTTCGAATGAAAACTATTCAATAAACTAGTTCGATTCACTTATATACATACGAATCTCCAAGAAAAATAATTAAAAGAATATTTTAAAATATTTTCCTTACTTTCATGGCAAGCGTTTGAGCACCTGGTAAAAAATCATCGAGATAATATTCTGATTGAAAATTTAAGCTTTTGTTGATGATTGTATGATAGTACGTTGGATTAAAGTTTTGTTGAACATTTTCTTTTAATGTTTGTAGAACAAAGTACGACATTGACTGTGTTGGATAATCACCAGAGAGTGTAGTCGTAGCCTTGTCAAAAGGACTCAGACAATCATGTAATGCAGTTAATAATTCCCAATCATCATATGTAAACATGATCGAACGCAATTTTGTTTCTTGTGCCGATGTTAATCCATTGAAATCACGTTTAGCAAAAATTTCATCAACTAAACTACGAAGATTAAGTAGACGATCGATCATTTTGAACGTACTGTTCCAACGTATCTAAAAGCAAACCAAATAGAATAGAGCTCCAGTGCAGAAATTCTCCATTTAACAGGACTCTGTTTTCTCAGATTTCTCGGGAATGGCGCGACGAAACATTGCGAAAGTTTGAAAACATATCGATAGAATTAAATAGAGAAAAACTTGTCATAGACCTCAACATTTTATATGTTCTCTATAGGAAGATATTTGTGTTTCAAAGGTCAAAATTTACCCAGTCTCTCACAACGTTTTTTTCATTTTATCAGACGCTTTATGATGAATAGAATCTCATCATAGTATGTGTTGTTTTTGTTTCAAAAACATCGTTCTTTGAGCTTGAGAGCAGCGAAATCCTAAAGCCACTGCTATAACGCCTTTGTTTTTCAACACTACTATTTTGTAAAGCCTACTAAATTTCCTAGAAACAATATTTTTAAGAAAACAAACACATTTCATGCTTACTGAAGTGTCTAGTAAAAACGTTTTACTAAAAAGTGTTCATGAGGTAGTAAGTAGCGCATAGAAGAAAAAGTGGGAAAACTTATATTCTACTGTTGAGAAGTTAAATTTTATAAACGTACGAAGCAATATAGGTTTCGTAATTCAGGTTAAATAAATTTGATCTTTTATCAAATTTGTCTAAGTGTCAAGGCAAGTTTAGAATTCTGAAATGTTCTTAGTGGATAGATACAACTTCAAACTATGCAATAGTCACATAGAACAAAACAAAATTAAAGAAATTGGCTCATGAAAGGAGGGAGTTCCCTTTCAAAATTGTAGTAGTGGATCCTACATCCATACTATCTATAAGTCAAAGAAAAATATGCTTCTGAAGATTGTTGATCCCCGATGAAAAAAGTATTGTGTGATCAATTTATTTTTTATTTATAGTAGAGCAATTTTTATCGTTTTCCAAGCGATCATAAATGTAGTATAGAAAACAAAACAGTGATTAAAACGTACTTTTACATCAAGAATAAAACCACCTTTATTTGGACCTATACGTTCCTATACATAACGTTGAATTAAACCAACCAAACGGGTTATTGACACAAATGCACGAACTTTTTGTACAACACGATGAATACGAATAAGTAAATTATAAATATCTTCGTTTGTGATTGGCTTTTCACTTGAAACATTTTCCTGCACCATGTGAAAAGCAGAATAATCTCCCTAATGCGCATAATAAAAATAAAAATAAAAAAGTCAATAGTGAAAGGTAAGAGTAACTCACTGAATATCGAGCATTACCATCGAGCGAACATTCTTCATTAACCATAAAAGCAATTGATGAATCAGGTGGAATTTCACTGGTCAGCTCGTCGTCTTCATCATCAACGAGGGATGTGTTGACTTCTTCGTACATCGAATCAAATGGAAATCTAGAAAAAGTGGTTAGTAAATATATTGATCGTAAATAAGATGCAGCATCCAAATGGAATTTCTGTTAATCTCACAAAGATATTAGTTACAGTCAATATATATATAAATATGAATATTGTCAGAATATTCATTTGCTTTTATACCTAGAAAGTAACAGTCAAAGTCTAAATGTACTGCTGCTTTAATAAGCAAATAAGCCCTGGATAAATCTATCGAGGGAGAAAAGAGAATAATTTGTAAATGAAACAGATACATAGAACAACGAATTCCGCATTAAGAAGAAAAATAGATATTATAGGAAGAAAGAAAAGTAGAGTAAGTGGGGGTAAGTGTAAAATGAAAAATAGCATGCATCAGAAAAAATGCAATAACTTTTTTAGCTTTTATTTTAAAGAAAAGTTTTGGTCACAAGACACCTAGCTAAGATG